AATGTAAATGATGAGTTAGTGGGTGCAGCACACCAACATGGCACATGTATACATATGTAACAAACCTGCACGTTGTGCACATGTACCCTAGTACTTAAAGTATTACAATAATAATAATAATTTAAAAAGAATCTGTGCTCTGTCTGTTCACCTCTCCCTCCCCCTGGCACCTGGCAACCACTGATCTCTTTACTGTCTCCACAGATTTGCCTTTTCCAGAATGTCATATAGTTGGAACCATATGGTATATGGCCTTGTCAGATTGGCTTCTTTCACTTAATAATGTGCATTTAAATTTCTTCCATGTCTTTTTATACCTTGACAGCTCATTTCTTTTTAGCACTGAATAACATCCCTTCATTGCACACACTGTGTAAAGAATGACTTTATACACTTCATTGCACACACTGTGTAAAGAATGCTTATACACAGGACAGCTTACGCAGGACAGCAACATGATCTGGTCACTGTCTAAACAACATGTGCAAGACAAGGTGACTCATGCTATCTGAGAGCAGTGGTGCTGTCACACTATAGGTGACACAGCTCAAGTCCCATATCTGCCTTGAAACATTGCTTCCTACATTCCTGGTACTTGCTGTGACTTATAATCTGCCCTGCCCTGGGTGGGCAGTGGTGCTTAATGTTATGAACATGGCATCTTAGGCTGTACAGGCAGGTTCAGATTCTGCCTCTCATATTTGTTTTCTTTGTGAGTGAGGGATAGATATGTAAACCCTTTGTTGTGGTATGAAAAGGTGTAATAATTTACCTCAAGAGGATTTAAATCAATTAATGCTGTTAGAGACCTTCATAACTTGCATAGCATTTAGTATGCTTTGAAAAGTTATCTTTATTAATAAGATATGTCAAGTGTCTGTCATGTTTCTTATGAGATTGACCTTTGCCTGCATTATCTTACATGTTTTATTTTTTGTAATTTTTTTCATATCAACATTTTCTCTGATGCTACATAATAAAATGTTAAAGCACATAGCTTTCATTATACATATTTTTTTTTTGGCCATAGAACTGGAAAACTAGATGACATTTCCTAGTCAGGGAGTTTCTCTGTATACTGCTATGATATAACTGCAGGCGTGAAATTATTTCAGACTCCCCTCCTAATTCTTCATCTTTATTATAATGTGCATTTACCTGAAGCTGATATTTCAAAATTTAGTGATTCTCAACATACTATTTTTCCTGTTGTGTGTTCCTTCTGTTTTTTCTGTAGGTCATAAGCAATAATTCTTTAGAATTTCACTGACAATTGTGTGTAATTGTGGTTATTAACTTGCCTGTTAGATTTTCACAGGTTACTAAAAAGTGTTTTGTTTTTGTTTGTTTGTTTTTTTTGAGACAGAGTCTTGCTCTGTTGCCCAGGCTGGAGTGCAGTGGCCTGATCTCGGCTCACTGCAAGCTCCGCCTCCCGGGTTCATGCCATTCTCCCGCCTCAGCCTCCCAAGTAGCTGGGACTACAGGCGCCCGCCACCACGCCTGGCTAATTTTTTGTATTTTTTTAGTAGAGACGGGGTTTCATCGTGTTAGCCAGGATGGTCTCGATCTCCTGACCTCATGATCTGCCTGTCTTGGCCTCCCAAAGTGGTGGGATTACAGGCGTGAGCCACTGCGCCTGGCCTTTATTTGTTTTTATGATGATTTACAGATGATGGTTTTTCAGTATATATTATGCAATATAACCACCATGCACAAATTTTGTTAATGCTACATGGGTATAGTAGTTTTATAACAAGTATTCATATTTGCAATTTGTAAATATTCAAAATTTTATTAAACTCTTCCTAATTTTTCCTTGCAGTGTTTTTTTGCAATTATGAATTGCCATTTTAAAATATTTTTATTAGATAAGTTTGAGCTGTGCCTTACCTTTTATTTGTGTGTAATAATTATGTACTAAATAATGCATTACTATTTATTTATCTTCTAATATGAGACTACAATATAGCTATGCCAGTTTACGTGTTCCTTGGAGTGGTGGTGGAAAAATACCTCTTCTCTCAGGGTTTATGTGGATTTACATAGTATGAGTGTTTCAGCTATAGGGTATTTTAAACTGTGCTTAAAGTAATTTGTTGCATGTTTTGTTACTATGTTACTTTACTGAGGACAGCTAGTCCCTTTGTGTTCTTAAACGTTTAAAGACGATTGAGAAGCTTCATAACTCTGTTCGTTGTAAATCTTAGTTTTCTTGTAATATTATGTATTTTAATAAAATATTTACCTTGCACCTCTATTTGATGGAAAGCCTGTGGATTTTTATATCTTTCAGATATTTCTTTTGGATTTACAAGCAAGGGATTATCACCAAAGGAAAACAATAAAGAGGAATTATACCATCTGGTGATATTAGAAAGAAAGGAAAGCCATGGCATCAACAATTTTGACCTCAAGGAAGTCTGGGAAAATATGCCTAAGTTTGACAGCCTGTGGGACTATGATGCAAAAAATTACAAAGGAACGCCTTTGACCTCTAACAAAAATCTCACTCCCAGAAAAGATCAACAACATAATAAATCCTCAATACATTTCTCTTTAAAGCAGAGTGTTTCTATAAGAGATAGTGCATACCAATATTTCATACATGACACGCCATTTATAAGGAATTTGTTAAAACTGAAAAATAACATAAGGTATGCTGGAAACAAATACGTGAAATGTTTTGAAAATAGAATTGGATTAAGCTTACAGGCACAGCTGACTGAACGACAGAGATTTCAAACTGGGGAGAAAATGTATGAATGTAATCCAGTGGAGAAGTCTATCAATAGTTCCTCAGTTTCACCACTTCCTCCTTGTGTCAAAAACATTTGTAATAAATATAGGAAGATTTTGAAATACCCTTTGTTACATACACAGTATGGGAGAACACACATTAGAGAAAAATCATACAAATGTAATGACTGTGGAAAGGCTTTTAGCAAAAGTTCGAACCTCACTAATCATCAGAGAATTCATTCTGGACAGAGACCTTACAAATGTAAGGAGTGTGGCAAAGCCTTTAACCAGTGTTCAAACCTCACTAGGCATCAGAGAGTCCATACAGGAGAGAAACCATATCAATGTAATATATGTGGCAAGGTCTGTAGTCAAAATTCAAATCTTGCAAGTCATCAGAGAATGCATACTGGAGAGAAACCTTACAAATGTAATGAATGTGGTAAGGCATTTATCCAGCGTTCACACCTTTGGGGTCATGAAAGAATTCATACTGGAGAGAAGCCTTACAAATGTAGTGAATGTGACAAAGCCTTTGCTGAGCGTTCCAGCCTTACCCAACATAAGAGAATCCATACTGGAGAGAAGCCTTACATATGTAATGAGTGTGGCAAAGCTTTTAAGCAGTGCTCACATCTCACTAGACATCAGAATATACATCCTGGAGAGAAACCACACAAATGTCATGTGTGTGGCAAGGCTTTTATCCAAAGTTCAAGTCTTGTGGAACATCAGAGAATTCACACTGGAGAAAAACCTTACAAATGTAATAAATGTGATAAAGCTTTTATCAAACGTTCACACCTTTGGGGTCATCAGAGAACTCATACTGGAGAGAAACCTTACAAATGTACTGAATGCGGCAAAGCCTTTACTGAACGTTCAAATCTTACTCAGCATAAGAAAATCCATACTGGAGA